AAAATGATTCATTCTTTAAGGTACTTTCAGAATTAAATTCCCTCAGGTACACATAAATATGTGCTACTTCTAAGAACGTCACAGCTTGAGAGGCTGCAACTTCGTAGCCTCATTTGTAGTAGTTGTCACTTTAATTTGACATTAGTTCTGTAGAAATTGTTATAAAAGTTGTTCTTGTCGTCTTTGAGGAGTAACTCAGAAAGAATTTGAGAATGAATGAGTTGGGCCTTCTACTTGAGAGTTCCTAACCCAAAGGTAAGAGTGCATAGAATATCCCTAAAAGGTTTTTGCTGAGGATTAGCAGATCTTAGAAAATTTGGTCGTGTGATCAAAATATTTTTCATTTACCGAAGATATTTCTGAGTCAATTAATAACCAACCAAAAGACTCGAGATTGCTGAACTTTTTCCTGAATATAATATCCGGAGAATTTCTTTAAGTGAGCATTTCAAGTCTTATTAATTAGGGGAAACCCGGACACCAATTTTTTATTGTACATCCACCTCAAGCTTCTTTTCATGGAGACTTTTCATCATTTTTTTCTTTTTTTTTATTCCCCTTTCCTTTTTTATTGAGATTTACTATATCTGGTAGAACATCATTTAAAGATTTTGAATGTCTGAATTGAGACACCAATTTTAGATTTTATGCTCACCTCAAGCTTTTTCTCAGGGGACTCACTGATTTCTTTTCTTCTCTTTTTTTATATTTTTTTGCTCCGTTTGTTTTCTGAGAATTACTATATTTGGTGGAACGTATGTTAAAGATTTTGAATGTCCAAACTCTCCCGACTAATAATTCTCCAATATTTCTTAAGACAAATTTTAGGATATTATAACTCGTTCGAAAGTCAGGACCCAGTCAAGTGGCAGGAAATTAAAAGTCTCGTGATATTCCGAGTCAATTACTTGTATTTCAATCACACTATCTTATTTTGAAATCAGCTTAGGACCCAATCCGAAATTCTTAAAGTGGATGACTCAGTTATTATGACATTAATTTCATTCTCTCCTGAAGTCATATTCGTATTAAAATATCCAGAAGTTTTTTTTCTTTTGAGATGCAGAGCCTTTCAAGTATTGAACAATTTTGAACAACAACAAATTTTCTTTTATTTCATTTATCAGCAGAAGAGATGAGACAAACAAACATTGATATCAGTAATATCCCTTTCGACAATAAACGTAGTACAATAGTAATCAAAAGAAGTTACATTCCTCGAAAGCTGCACCAGAGTTAATCAGAACATTGAGATCGACCGAAATCATATTGACTAAACCTTTTTCAGGTTCTTTTCAAATACTCTTCCGGGATCACTATGCTCCCATTATTGAAGTTCTTCTCGAGTCACTCTTTAAAACTGATACAACCCTTTATGGTGTGACCAAGCATTCTATGATAAGGGCAATATCTAGGCTGATCCTTCTTATCAACCTCATCTGGTTTCTTCGGCTCTGGCAACCTGAACTCAGGTCTCTTGATTAAATTTCTGAACATCTTCCCCACCGCCTCATCTTTGAAGGAGTAGACTCTGCTCAATCGATTCATCATAGTCGGACCCTGTCCCATATCTGGGCTGTAGGATTTCTGCTGAAACTGTCGCTGACCATAATGCTGATTAATTTGTTGATTTTGCTGGGAATGTTGTTGATTATTGTGCTGCGGACGTTGGTAACTTTGTTGAGGTTGTTCAACTTTAATTTGAATTGTTTGTTTACCTCTATCCGCTGTCGCCACTGTCCCAGTTTTCTTTTCAAATGTCTTCATCGGCTTTGACTTCTCATTCTTTTCCATAAATCCAAATTGATTAACCTCTTCCTGCAGACCTGCAGCTTTGCTTAGCAACTTTTCAAATGTTCTGATAGTGAATCCTTTAAGCATAAAAACGACTGGACCATGTATGTTTTTTAGCAGAATTCCAATTGCATGTTGTTCTTATAACTATGGCTCGCACTTCATGCTTAAGTTCCTCCATCGCAGAATGTAATCGACTAATGTCTCATTTGGTTTCTGTTGCTTGACCACAAGATCACCGATGGTGATATGGTGCTGAGCTCCAGCAAATCTCTTGATAAATAAGTCTTCTAGTTCTGCGAAAGTCTTAATTGAGCCAGTAGGCAAATCAACGTACCAATCAAAAAGCAACACCTGAAAGATTATTCACAAACTGTCGGCAGAGCAATGCTTCGCTATCCCCCGCGTTGCAGCAACTTGCCCGGAAGTGTGCAACATGCTGTCGGGGGTTTCCTGTTCCATCAAATATCTTGAAGGTTGGCGATACAAATCCCTTTGGGTATTGAACCATGTCAAACTCTTCTGGATGCGTCTTTTGGATATTTGACCAAATCAAATTCCTCCGGGTATGGCATTCCCCTTAAGACTGATGATCCTCCTTTCGATTGAGCTAAAACCTTTTGTATTTGTGTTTTCACTATTTGCTGGATATTCTTTTCTGGTATTAAAACTTCAACTGGTTCCTTTTCTGGTTGATTATTTCTACTAGAAGGACTGGGGTCGTTTCTTCCTTCTAAAACGGGCACAACTTCTGCTCGATTCATTTCTGGAGAAATAGTTAATGGAGATTGTGGCTGACTTTGCAGTGTAGCAACAACATCCATCGTTTCCTCCAACTTTTTCGCCATCTCGGCCATCTGCTCATCTCGTATATGGATTTCCCTTCGTAATTCATCATGTGTGCTTGCCTCTGCAGCTTGTGGGGCATCACGTGATGATGAAGAAGTTCGGGTTTCAACAACAAGAATGTCTGCATACCTTCTTCCACATTATCCATCAAACTAAAATCTTCATTTTCATCATTCTGTTGTTGCTCTTTTGATAACTTTGCAATATCAAGCCTAAGCTTCTCCAGTGTTCTTTCAATTGAGCTTCCTTTAATCACTTTAAGATCAACTGGTGGACCC